CGTTTGCAAGTATGGTAATCTCATTGCTTTCGCAACGGTCTCCTGATCGCTATCGGCCGTATTATAGCTTCTGGGTTGCGTGCGCTCGGCAGGCAATACACAAACTAACAATAAAATACACAACAACCAAACACACAGACAAACAAGCAAGCAACACACAAAGGAAGCTAACAAACGAACACAACAATCACGCAATCACGCACGACATGCATCACGTAAGCTTAAACTAACAACACACACGCAAACGGGCAAACGAACAACCTCAATCAAACAAGCGCCACCACGAACATACCAAACGAACGATGCAAAACCAACGCGCGCGCCTAGAAACAAATAAACCCACGAACGATACGAACAACGAGAAACAACGAAACAACCAAAACGACGCCCAAGCAAAAACGACGCCTCGGGGCGTCATTTTATGTAAAATGGCGCCCTCTGAGCGGCATTATGACGCGTGCGTTGCAGAAATGACGCGCGCGCTCTATGAAACCACGCGCGCGGGATCTATGATGGTGCACGCGGGGAAAAGATGGCGCATGCGCCAAACAAATGACGCTTCAAGGGGTCGGGGAAATTTCTGCTTCCGGCGTCCGGGAGGCCTCCTGACGCCGGGGCCGGCGCCCGAGCTGGCGCCCGAGCTGGACGCCCGAGCCAGCGCCCGGGCCGGCGCCCGGGCCGGGTCCGGAGCCGGTTCGGGCCAGCGCCGGAAAATCGAGTTCCGCGGCGGCGCCGAAAAAAGGCCATTCCAATACACATTTTTCTTTTGAAAATGCTGAATTTCTGCTTCCGGCGCCCGGGAAGCCTCCCGGGCCGATTCTGACGTGCTTCCGCTCGTTCCGAATCATGCTCCCGCTGTAGCGCTGGCCTCATTTCCGCGCTTCCGCTCGTTTCGACTCGTGTTCCCGCTGCAGCGCTGGCGTCATTTCCCGCGCCATGCCACGGCATGCAATGCAATGCGAGGCTGATACTACGCTTCGCGGTGCTCGTCTACGCCACGCCATCCCGTGCTCCACAATGCATCGCGTACGCTTTCGGGATCATTGCCCTGCTCGACATCCGACTGTGCGAGTAGAGAGGGGATCTGCGCCATGGTAAGGGATGGGAGGGAGGGGTAGGATGTCAGATATGACGCGAACGCACCTAGCTTGGCCCCCCCCCCTCTCTCATCCCTCCCCGCTTCCCCTCCTCTTCCTGTCCCCTTTCTTTTTGCCCAACTCGCCTACCCCTTCATTCTCCCCCAGTCTCTCTTCCCATGGCCTTTGCCTATCCCGCCTTTCCACCCTCTCCCCTAGCCCTCCCCGCCCCGCCTCCCACATTCATTTCCTGCCTTCCCTCCCTACCCATTCCTTCACTCCTATTCTCTCCCAGTCGCGTACTTTGACTTTTGTTCTCGTGCCCGTGTCCAGAGCACCGACCACTGTATTTCGGCACAGCACGGCAAGGCACCTGCGAACATCCCCCAACTCTCTCACCTCTCCCGCAGCCATTTCGTCCCCTCTGCCCCGATCAGTTTTTCCGCGGGCGCGCAAACATGGATTAGCGATCCATGGATTTGGCGCGCGGTCGCCAAATCCATGGATCGCGGGAGGTGCCCTCCCCAAACATGCGGCCAGTGCCGCCTCGCCAGGCGGCGGCAATCCGCGATTTCCCATGGAAGCGGCGGGACCCGTCGCTAATCCACGCCCCCTTGATCCATGCTTGCGATCGCCTGATTTATTCAGGTACAGCACGGCATGGATCCAGCACCGCGCCCCGCCTCCCCCCCAGCGCAGCCAGCCCAGCTTCTCGTCCTCAACACCCGCAGCCAGCCAAGCCTCCCCTCGCCCCCTCGCCAGCGCGTCCCCCCCGCCCCGACCACTTTATTCCGGCAGGGCACGGCACTACACTGGCACCGCCCACCCCTTCCCCCGCCCTGCAGCCAGCCCAGCCTTTCCTCCTTCTCGCCTTTCGCAGCCAGCCCAGCTCCTTCCCGCCGCCAGGCCATGCAACCACTTCCGCCTCGACCATCTTACTCTGGCACGGCACCGGCATCGCGCCCCACCCTCCCCCGCCCCCCTCGGCCATCTCAATTCCTCCTCCGAGCCTCCCCCCCGCAGCCAGCCCAGCTTGCCCCTGGCAGCGCGCCCCTTCACCCAGACCATTGTATTTCGGCGCAGCACGGCACGGCACTAGCAACGCGCCCCCCTTCCCCCACCCCCGAAGCAGCCAGCCCAGTTCCTCCTCGTCCTGCTCGTCCTCCTCACCATCCTCCATATCCTCATCCTCACCTCCTGCTCTCTGCCCCCCGCAGCCAGCCCAGTTCACCCTCGCTTCCCAGCCAACTTGCCCCTTCCGCCCCGACCGCCTCATTCCTGCACGGCACTAGGCCCGCGCCCCCCTTCCCCCGCCCCGTTACCAGCCCCCTCCTCCTCCTTTCCCCCCGCAGCCAGCCCACAATTTTCTGGCACGGCACGACAACGGTTCCGCGCCCTTCCTCCCCCCATCTCCCGCAGCCAGCCCTGCCCTTCCTCGCCTTCCAGCCAGCGCGCAGCCTCCGCCCCGACCGCTGCATCCGGGCACAATCGTAAGGCTTGCGCGTTTGACACTTAGCGTCCCGCCCGCCGTGCGCTACACACCTACGAACGTTTACCCACCTGGCTGCATCAACGATTCGGTGTCCTGCATATCGTGGCAACGGCTCGCCATGCGACAAAACGGTAGGGAAGCGGATGAATCGGTACGCGTATGTAGCACACTGCAGTTGCGCATAAGAAGGAGGGGGCAGGCGCGGGTTATGTCGCGGGTGGGTCGCGTGAGAGTCGCGGGTGGATCGCGGGGTGGGTCGCGGGTGGGTTGCGGGTGGGTCGCGGGTGGGTCGCTGGTGGGTCGCGGGAGGGTCGCGGGTGGGTCGCGGGTGGTCCCGGTTGGTCCCCACCGCGTTGCGGGGTGGGTCGCGGGTGGGTCGCGGGTGGATCGCGGGCGGGCCGCGGGTGGATCGCGGGCTTGGTCGCGGGCGGGACGACGACAACAAACAATAAACAAGCAACGACAACAACAACAGTATCAACAGCAACAACAATAACAACAACGACGATAACAACAACCCGCACCGTGGAAGCCCACTTCAGCCACCCCCTCAGGGACAGTGAATGACCGTTCGGCCTCCTCACTCTGATCTGGAAGTATACATATAGAAAAAGAAAGAGAGAGAGAGAGAGAGAGAGAGAAAGAGAAAGAGAAAGAGAAAGAAAGAGAGAGAGAGAGAGAAAGACAAGGAGAGAGAGGGATAGAGTGGGGGCGAGAAAAGAGAGACACAGCGAAAGAGAGAGAAGGAACTATTTATATATATATAACAAGAAATGGGATGCAGTGAAAGAGAAAGAGAGAGAAACACAAGACAAGAAAAACAAACAGACAAACAAAAACACAATTCTCCAGGCGAAGAACCCAACCATACATCGGCCCAATGAAAGTTCCTGGAATTTTCATCACGACGCTGGCCGGCGGGAGTCGACGGAAGTAAAACGAGGCGGATGACGGGGGGAGGCCGCCGGAAGGCTTGCCAATGTCAGCGGAAGTAAATGACGCCCCTTCCGAACCCCCTACCCCCGTAGAAGCCTAGCAATGTTGTCTTCCTCCGTGGGCCGGGCGGGATCCCGCCTGGCTTATTCCGCTTTAATGTTATAAGTTTAGTTCAGGACGATCAAAATCCCACCCATTAAAAATGGGGTAGACCAAAATCCCGGGCCGTTCACGGATCCCACCATGCTGGGATCGGCTCGAAGTAAGATGGGGCTCATAAGTTGCAGTATTATTGCCGTGTTGGGGTCGTCTTGAGGTCATTTTGAGATCATATCCCGGTCATGTTTGGATCACGCAACCATCGCGTGGTCATTATGAGGCCACCCTGGGTGCGTTTGAATCCATCTTGTTGCCATTGGGCCATCTCGGCGTCACGCGTTGCTCATGTGTTTCGTCATCTACGAGTCGGCCTGAGACGTTCCAGAATCCATGGCGGGATCGCGTTCGGGTGGCATCATCCTGGGTCCTCTGGACGTTATCGTCCGTGGCCTGAGGCATTCCTGGAAGCATGTTGTGGCCATGGGACGTCTTGGGATCGCGTGCGTGCGAACGCTGAGCACGCGCGCGCGACTTTTCATCTTGCCGACGGGTTTACATACATATTATTCCTCTTGCGAGTTTCCAAGGAAACTTTTGTTGGAACCAAGTATGCGGGTGCGAGTGCCGCAAGGCAAGTGGGACGAAAGCTGAGCAGGTCCTTATGAGGAAACGGAATGCGGACCCTGCCGCTGGGGCTTTCGATGAAGCTCCCTTGGGGCCACAAAACGTGTGAGGGGTGTGTGCCGAAAATTGCTGCGGGGCCGCAACGCGGTCCCTGCCACCTCAGCCTCCAGTGAAGCTCTGTATAGGGCCACGAAGCGGAAGCGTGTGAGGGGTGTGCTGAATCTGGTGCGGGGCCGACAGGCGGACCCTGTCGCTAATGCCTTCGATGGCGCTCCCTGTGCGGCCACGAAACGTGTGAAGGGTGTGCCGAAAAATGCTGCGGGGCCGCATTGCGGACCCTGCCACTGGAGCCTGGTGAAGCTCCGCATGGGGCCATGAAGCGGTGAGGGGTGTGCTGAATCTGGTGCGGGGCCGCAGGGCGGACCCTGCCGCTATAGTGCCTTCGGTGGAGCTCCCTATAGGGCCACGAAGCTTGTAAGGGATGTGCCGACATGGGTGCGGGGCCGCCATGCGGACTCTGCCGCTAGTGCCTTCGGTGGAGCTCCCCATGGGGCCACGAAACGTGTGAGGGGTGTACCGAAATGGGGCACGGGGATGGGAGGAGGCGGGAGGAAGGAGGCGGGAGGAGAACGCGGGGGTTTGTCTCCTCAGAACAAGGACCCAGCACCACAGGATGGTTGGGAATATGGGGAGGATGGACGGAAAGGGGGGGTGTCAGGAGGAGTAACGGGACGGAAGAAGAGACGGACTTGGTGGGAATACATACCCCCTGCCTTGTGCAAGAACACATTCCGCTGATACAGCTGGTAGGTATCCTGTCGCCCAAATCAAACATGTTCAAAATACGATGAGGGCCTGCGGGGCATGAACAAACGCCGTACAACAGCCGATGCACCATGACCGTCTCACTACCAATGTCGCAAGGTCGCTGCACATAGAGGGAGCGATCAGGACAACAACACTCTGAGGCTGACCCACCAACGCCAGCACCACCACAACACAAAACGCATAATCAACGGATGTCAACCACAATCATAAACATGTAAGGCTCTTACCACGCATCCGGAGCAGTGATCCCTGGAGCAGACTTACACAACATGCGTTTAAAGCGCAAAGCGGTCAGCGCACTGGTAGGTCCTCCGTTCAGCTGAAGGGTCATTCGGCCAATGTCCGAATGACATTCGAGCCCAAGAGACGGGAAGCGTGCGTCCAATCACGTGAGCCCGAGCGAGTCGACCGAGGATACCCATGGATTTTGCGAAGTGACGCCGCGGATAAAGGTCGCCTGCAGCAATCACACATCATTGCAGGGGTGGGGAAGCGGACCCACAAAAACTGTGGGATTTGATTCACAACGGAGAACGGAAAGGATGCTACCGAGGTGCCCCTCCATCTCGCGGCTGCCACTACAACGACAAGCCCGAGAAATGAAACAGAGCAAAGCGAGAACGCAACACGAGCCAACCTGCCTCGAGGCCCCTCCTGGTCCCCCAGGGATGCTGAGAGAGATACAGCCGGATCCGAGTCCTCACACTCGATGAAGCCGTACCCTTTCTCGTGGTCCCATTTGCCGACGCGTCCGACAAACTTCTTCACGTTGCACCTCCCCTTCTCTCGTCTTGCCTTCGCCAGCCCTGCACCTTCCATCCGGATGGGGAAGAGTGGAAGAAGAGAATGAGTAGGAAGAGGAAGTGGTCCACCCCATCCTCCCTATGCTGCTGCTGCTGCTGCTGTTCATCCCCCACGCTGTGGCGAGGATGAGAGAAAGAGGATGGGGGAAGGGTTCATCCTGATCCCCCCTGCCCTACATCTAATCGTGACAAGTGGCCCGACTACCGCGAGCGCGTCAGAAACCGATGTGGGCGGGCACACGAATGGAATCGCAAACATCTCCGCACCCACGTCGTTTGTTTGCTTGCTTGATTGATCGATGAGTTGATAGTGCGAACGGTTGGTTGACCAATATGTTTAGCTGGATTCACTGGTTAATTAGATGTCTGGCTCGTAGGCCGATCAGTGGTAGCTGAATGGGCATCGTTGGATTTCCCCCCCCTGGGAACAGTTTCTGTATCCCTCCTTCTTAACCTCATCATCGGCCTGCTCTTACCGATCACGTCGACCACATCATCCTGCTGCTCGTCTTCGCTCACCAACCCCTCCCACTCATGCCCGTCTTGCACCTTTGCTTCCTCTCCGTTGTCCCCCTCCTCCACCTCCTCCTTCCGGCTCCTCCTCCTCCTCCTCCTCCTCCTCCTCCTCCGGGAAACCACAAGAAATCGAGAGCGCGACTCCCCAGACCTCTGCCGGGGTGCATCCTGACCAAAATTCCGAGGCGTATCCAGCGGTGGTGACGAAGGCCTCCCAGGAGGCCCGCAACGACGAAAGCGACGGGCAGGTAGCGGTATCGGTACCCTTTTCGGGGGCGCGCAAACATGGATCAGCGATCCATGGATTTGGCGCGAGGTCGCCAAATCCATGGATCGGGAGAGGTGCCGTCCCAAAAATCCGGCCGGTGCCGCCTCGCTGGGCGGCGGCAATCCGCGATTCCCCATGGAAGCGGGACCCGTCGCTACTCCACGCTCTCGTGATCCGTGTTTGCGATCGCCCGACTTTTCCTCCTCCTCCTCCTCCTCCTCCTCCCCCTCCTCCTCTGACCTCGCGCGTGGCCGAGCACTCGGTCTGCCCGCCCTGCCGCCGCGCGCGCTACCGACGCAGTCATTTGTTATTTTCTTCTTCGTCCTTCCTCGCGCGTGGCCGAGCGCTCGGTCTGTCCTCCTCCTCTGACCTCCCTCCCCCTCCCCCTCCCCCCCCCCTGCCTGTCGGAGCGCTGGCTGCGGCCCCGGCTACACCAGCGGCCTCGGTGCCCGGAGAGACGGCCTCCGGAGACCGAGAAGGGCAAGAGGACCTCCTCGAACACGGAACCCAGAACGGCGTCCCCAGAAGTCCCGACCCTTTCCCCTCCTCCTCCTCCTCCTCCTCCTCCTCCTCCTCCTCCTCCTCCTCCTCCTCCTCCTCCTCCTCCTCCTCCCCGCAACCCGAGGACCTCCCTCCCCCTCCCCTGCTGGGGCACTGGAGCAGTGGGTCGCTGGCCGCGACCACGTCCGCTCCCTGCGAGAAGGCCGGCCTCACGATGGCGCCTGGAGGGCCCCCAGGAGCCGGGCGTGTGGCGCAGCCGCGGGAGGAGGGGGGCAGGGCAGGCACGCGAGAGTCGGGCCGGGCGAACGGGGGGGATAGCGAAGGGGGGGATTGAGAATCGGCTCACGTAGCTGACTTTCCCAGTGCCGCATGGCGCCAGGAGGCGCCCATGTATCGAGATCTGGGCCCCTCGGGTGGGCCGAAACCAGCTGCATGCAGCAGATTTCGTACCCCCCCTTTCCCAATCCCCCCCTTTCGTCTGGCCCGAGAGAGGCAGGATAGCCCAGAATCGAATCGATAAGTCGGAGCGGCGATCGACACGAATCGGATCGGCGGAAATCGGCAGCCGAGTCGGGGAACGTCGCATCGGCGGAAATCGGCAGGCTGGTAATTATGCTTCCAATAAGAAATCGGAGCCCTAATCGGAATCCCACGTCGCATCGACTCGGAATCGGAAGCCATCGGAATCGAATCCAATCGAATCAGAGGGGTCGAAATGAGTCCTGGAGAGGAGGAAAAAGCAGAGGGGGAGCGAACGTCACCTGAGGGGCAGGTCCGTTCGATCAGCCAGCCTCTGCGGAGCGCGGGCGGCGCGGACGCCGAGTGCGGAGCACGCTGGTTTGCCCCGTTTCGGCGGTGGAGGTCAGGAGGGTCAGAGTCTGGGAGAGGCGGCGGAGGGGGAGAGGGAAGAGGAGCAAGGAAAGGCGACGCCAGCACCACCAGGGCGAGGATATGATGCGAGGAGCAAGGGGGGTCCCCCCCTCTCGCTCGAGACGTCCCCGGCCTCCGGCGTGGGGAGGCATCGTGGACCTCCTCGCTGGAGGTGGCCCCCCTGGTGGTGTTGGTGTCGCATCTACCCTTATGTCGGGCCCGTCCGCCGGACCAAAGTGACCCCCCCCTTCTGGGGCCCTAAAAACTTACAAAAACATATGAAAAATCAACAAATTCGGCATCTTGGGCCTCTTGGGGCTCCAAAAGGGCCTCAAGATGGCCCAAGACGGCCCAAGATATCCCCAACGGGGGCACATGAGGCCTCCAAGACGGCCCCCACAAGGCCCCCAACGCCCCAAGGACGGCCCAAGAGGGCCCCAAGAGCGCCCGCAACTGCGCCTCCAGAGGCCGAAATCCTTGATTGTCCTATGTTTTCTGGAATATCTTAGCGTTCTCGCTTTGATCGACTTTCAAAAATCCATGACGGCCCAAGCAGCTTCCAGAATCGCCCCAGAACAACCCAAAAAGCCCCCAAGAGGGCCCCAAGACGGCCCAAGAGGGCCCCAAAACTGCCCAAAGAGGCCCCCAAGACGGTCCAAGAGGCCGCGAAGACGGCCCAAGAGGACCCCAAGAGGGCTCCAATGCGGCCGCGAGAGGCCCCCAAAACAGCCTCCGAGGGGGCGAAACGGCGCAACAGCGCCCCAAGACTGCCCAAAACGCCCCCATGAGGCCTCAAGAGGCCCCCAAGAAGTCTCCCAGAAGCCTCCAAAATGCCCCCCCCCAAACCCCCCAAAGGCCACACAGCGACTGGAGTGTAATGTTCTTTTCCCCCCTCTGGGCGAACTGCGGCGCAGCGCCAGCCAGGTGTCGGCGCCCATGATTAGAGCCGGCGCTGGAAGGGAAGATGGGGAGGGTGTATGAAAAGGAAGGAGGGGGGAAAGGCCCCAAAGAAGCCCCCAACAGGCCCAAAGAAACTCCCAGGAGGCCTCCAGGAGGCCCCCAAAAAGGCTCCCAAGAGGCCCCGCGACGACGTGACTGTACGTGCTCCGGACGTGCACCCCGCGAAGCGAGAGGAATCAACCTTGCACGTGCAGTACAGCCTGGAGGGACACTTCTGGAGGCTGGAGGCTGCCAGTGAATCGATGGACCGAAAAGAAAAAGAAGGACGTCTTCAACATTGGCGCGACCACGGTGATAGTCCTGTTGACCAGATGGCAGTGATAGGATCAATATCGCGTTCCTGGGCTGCCTAGTCGTTGGCAAACTCGCTTGGGATCGCCAGGACCCCCGCTTGCACCCTCCCTTGGGCCACCTCCTCCTATCATCATCCAACTTTTCGTGTTCGTCCTCCTTCTGCTCCACTACTCCTCATGCTTCGCCCCGCCCCATCCCCGAAATTACAACATCGGGAGGTCTGGTCATTCTGCGTCGAGGCGTGAACCACGAGAGAGAAGGTGTCAGGTGGAAGGGACGGAGGGGCGCAGCATATGAAGGAGATTAGGCGCACCGAGTGCAGCGCTATGTATAGTTAGGTCGGGCATGTCCCCCTACAGGCTGATTTTCGACGAAGCATAAAAAATAGTCAAAACAATTCCCCGAACATAATTCAATATATTTGAACAATCGTATCCTGACTATTTTCCTTCTTTTGGCATAATGTGGAGGGGCACGCCCGACTTACATGTATATTTCAGTAGCAGCCCATCCTGTATAGATCTGTCTCCACGTCAAGATGAGCTTCTTGTGCTGCGATAGCTCGGTCAGCCTGGACACGTGGTTCGCCTCTGGACAGCTGCAGGGCCAGAGCCGCAGAACGATTGTGAGAGGCCCAGGTGGAAAGAGAACGGGGACCCTGTGGAAGCAGCCAACGTCGTCTGGGAGGAAGTCCAGCACAACCTGAACATCAAACCACACGCATTTACGGATCGCCTTCCAGGACATGCCCAGGAAGGGGGTGGCCACAAACGCATTACCCCTCGTAAGGTGAAACCGAGAAGCTTCCCAGTGAAATCAAGCGCTGACAGGCCCCAGATGTGACATCGCACGCGCGGACCACGACATTCTGCATGGAGCCCGATCTCTCAAGCAGCGATTGCTCTGAGGTCCTCTTGCCTGGTCCCTTCAGCACTGAGCCCGGTTGTGGCACGCTCTTGCGGCCGATTGCCCCCCCCCCCCCCCCATCGCTTCCGACCCCCGCCCGTGCCCCGCTTGCCACCCTCTGCCTTGGTCGCTCGGCTTCCTGTGGGCTCCTGTAGCACCTCCATTGCCTTCCATCGACACTCTCACCCCGCACTCTGTCGCTTCCATCCGCCCTCCCACCCTCAATTGCCTTCCACCCACCCTCCCACCCCCTCCACCCTCCCACCCCGCTCCATCCACCCTCCCACCTCAATTGCCTTCCATCCACCCTCCCACCTACCTTCCACCCTCCATCCACCCAATCGTCGCACTTTTGGGTGGCCACTTGGCTTCCCGCGGGCGGCTGTGGGCTGTCCTCCCGTGTGCCGCTCCTCCTGGCGGCCGTCTGGCCCTCTGGCGCTGGCGCACCAATGACCACGCGTCGCATGTTTTACGGCGGCCGCTTGGCTTACCATGACGTTCCCTCGACTGGGGCAGCGATGAGCTGGGGAAGGAAGACAAGAGGAAAGGGACGAAGGGGAACGGGCTGCCCAACCGCGAAACGCCCGCGACCCACAAACGAACCACCCCCGCGACCCACCGGCGAACCCCTCGCGACCTACCTTGAAATTCCCACACCCGCGACCAACCCGCAGTGCTTCGCAAAGCGATCGTCTCTTTGTGGCGGATGGATTCTGCAAAAACAAATACACAAAACACTAGGTGCCTTCAAACCTCGACCCACCAACGACCCGCCCCGCCACCAATCCACGTTGTCTTGCCAGACAGGTCGTCGCCTGCGGCGGCCTTCTTGAAATTGTCGCCCTAGCACAGCAGCCAATGCAAGGAAGCACTATGTCACATGGCCCCTCACTCTCATGTGCAGCTGTGGGGCTTGGATTGTGAATGGTGATGGCGACGAGGTGGTGACACAGACAGCAGTGGTGAAGAAGTTGTGTGCAGATGTGCGTGGTTGTCATCCGTTCATCTCTCATGACATTGCCTCACGAACGTGACAACCCCACTTGGAAGCGGGATGATACACAGTTGAACCCACATTTGCGCGAACGCTGAAACTGCAGTGTAATACTCGGCAGTATTGCCCGCGTGGAGCGCAACGCTATAGTATAAGCCAGTGATTGAGGGCACCCCACTTCCCGAGGCCCCCCCTGGCATCCGAGCGCCGCTGAGGAGGTGTCCAACGCTTGCTTCCAGTAGACACGAGATGACCACGAAGGATGTCAAGATGGCCCCAATGGCTTCAACAGGGCCCCAACAATCCCTTTGAAGACCCCAAGGGATGCCGAAGAGGCCCCAAATGGCCCCCAAAACACCAAAGGTGCCTCAGAGAGGCCTTTCGGGAGGTCCGCGAAGGCAAATTATATTCGACCAACACTACGCGATTCAATACGTATGATTCTGAATGGATTTCATACTAAGTGGCCGCAAGATGCCAAGATGTTCCGAATATCCCCCGGAGCGGCAACCACGAGGCCCCACGACGGCCCTAAGAAAATATCCATGACGGCGCAACGACCAAGTTAAAACGGTCCCAAAATGCACGCTAGACTGACCGACGGCACTGCAAACATGTCCACGGAACCCCCCAGATGACTGCAACACTGCCCAAGATGCCAAGACACCCGGTAGGCTCCCGAAAGACCCAAAAAGGCTCCAGTACTGACTATACGCCAGCTGTCTGGGATACCCAACAATCCACGATACCAGTCACATACATGTGTATACCCACATATATATATATATATATGTGTGTATGTATATATCTATATATATATATATGTGTGTTTACATGTGGACACATGTACACATGCAAGCAGAGAAAGAGAAAGAGAGAGAGAGAGAGAGACCCACTGATGCCTGCACACATGCAAATATACACTTTTTGTTGGCCGGCGGGGCGAGAGCGAACCTCTTCCGCTAAAAGCTAGGCGGGCTACGCACAGCTTTAATTAGGGAGACGGGGCACAGGCGGGCGGCGCCTCAGGCGGCCGGAGTGGGCGGGGCCCGGGGTGCAGGCGGTGCCGAAGAGCTTGCACAAGAGAAGGTCCGCCGCGGACAGGGGCCGGAGGCGAAGATCCGGAGGGTGAGCGATGTAATGTTGCCGTGCATGCAAATATGCACGCACGTACACAAACCGACGGCAGTGGGCCCCGCGGCAGACCGCGCGGAGGGGGGGGGGGGGAAAGGCGAGGACGCAGGGCGGCTGGAGCGGAGGCGAAGCAGCCCGGGACCGCCGACCAGAGCCTCCACCGGGCGGCCCCGCCGGCGCCGCTGCGGCCTCTGCGGCCCAAGGGATCACCTCCTACGGTCCGGGCCTGTCCCCCTACAGGGGGGATCTTGGAGGAAAAAAATTTAAAAATGACCAAAAGTGCTCCAAAGCGTCCCCCCAAATAGTTAAAAATGGCCCCCGTTGACTATTTTGTGATTATTTCTGAATATCGCTCCTGTAGAGGGACGGGCCCGACTTACTGTTACCGCCCTCTGGGCCATGTGGAGGCAACCTATACCAAGTTACGGCGTTCTCTCCGCTGGGGAAACACGATGTAGCATGTCGTGCTCATGTAGGGTCTGGCTGAGCAGATGTGTCACACATTATTGTTCTCTGAGCCTCCGGGGGAACGCCATCATGTTACTGAAATTACGATCCGGCAGAAGAGCGTATCGTATGTCACGTCTCGCTGGAGTCTAGGACGAGAACTGACACACGTCGCAGCCATCTGGGAAAACCCCAGTACTACCGATAACCTGGAAACTACTGAAACCAATGCGTGATGCAACTGCAATGACACATGTTTAAAACGTCGAGCCACGACTGCTACACGGAATACCACAATCTACAACAAACGTGCACATCAACGAAATGTGAGCAAAAACGCGTCAAACGCACACGTGGTCCGTAACTGCTCGATCGGCTGGCTGAGAATCGCATGGGCAGTGTTGAAGACGCTGGGTGGAACAATGCCTCTGGATACGCGGGTCTCCCGAATGTATCGATGCGAGGAAGCCAGCTTCGTTTTCTGTCGTTGCGAAACCACTGGGGAATTCAAACGGAAGCGCATCAGGAAGAGCCTGGGAGGGTTGTTTCAGCGAGGACTAACTGAACATTCGAGCATCATCCATGCGCAAATGACCACTTTGCTGCGACCTTGCTGCTGAGCGGCCAGGCACCATGCACTGAACCGTTAGCACCATGGTGCGCCAGCTCGCATGCTCGCGCGCACGTGCACTTTTTGTCGACCGCCGCAAACTAAGTTCCCTGCGCCACCTCCGCGCGCACAGGCGTGCCCAAAGCCGCGCCTGCGGAGTGGGATCCACCGAAGCCCCGCCCACGCGCCCCCTTCTGGAAGAGGTGTTGGCGGACGAAGCGCAAGGCCTCCACCGAATCCTCGACGTCGTTCAGGGCTCGATGGTTGTATCGGCTCACCCTGCCCTCCCACTGCCGCATCCTCTCTGGGACCCAGTGCCTCGCCATGTGGAAGAATGAAGATACGTCAACAATCCTATGGCTGAGATGCTGATATACCTGCGGCATTTCCGCTTTCAGCACCTCCCTGTCGCATTGCACCGAATAACCCACCAGTGGGCAGGCGCCTTTGGGGCAATGCTTGCGGATCAAATTCAACGCGGCTTCCTCGACCTCTCTCAGGGTTGTACTAGAGTTGAGCACGTCCGCGAAAAGTCCATTTCCTCCAGAGTGGTTGCCCGAGAGCCTGGGGAACGGACCGCCAGGCAGCTTGTCTCGGAAGTGCGCCTGGTGGAACTCACCCAGACTCATGAGCTCCTCTTTAGTGAAGCCACCCACGACCCAACAACCGCGGCCCAACTCCTGGAGGTCCTGGTCCGTTATTAGCACGGCGGCTTCCAGGATTTTGGGCCTGCGGTCAAACTCGTAGAATCCAGAGGTGAGCTCCAGGTCGATGAAGATGAGGTTGGAGTTGTCGTCCACGAATTCGCCCCACTTGCGCTCCGCAGACAGGTCGGTGCTGGTCCCAGAGACTGCACCTCTTCCCGGCTCAAGCATATCCATGTCCCTATGTGTGGCATCCCTTTACCTAGGTGCCGATCTGAATGATCCCTTCAGTTTCTGAAGGCACATCCCTGAGATTGTCATCGCCCTGGGCTTGTCGATCTTAGGAATAAGGGATCCGTTTAGGTCGGGCATGTCTTCCCACAGGCGGATTTTGGAAGAGAAACGAATCATAGCCAAAACACACTCAAGAATAATTTGAAATACTAGGACAATCATCCCCATGCTATTTTGTCCGACTAATTTTTAATCTTTGGGAAAAACCAAAAGGTACGGGTACCGCTACTCCCCAGACCTCTCCTGGGGTGCGTTCTGAGCAGGATTTCGAGGCGAATCCAGCAGTGGCGGCAACGGAGGCCCAGGAGGCCCAAAAATGGAGAAACGAGGGGAGGGTAGAGGTGTTGGTACCTCTTCCTCCTCGGGAGTCTTCCTCCTGAGGGACGTGCCCGACTCAGGGCCAAGTTTGGGTCGGGCACGTCCGACTGCAGGCAGATGTTTGGAATAAACACAGAATATAGCCAACACGCACCCAAACATTATATACGCATATCAACAGAAGCAAACACCGTCCCCAGATGATGCCTGACTATGTTCGAACCCTCCTCCTGTAGAGGGACGCGCCCGACTTTTTGGACGCCCGAGATGGGCACGGAAAGATGGGTACGATGCCCAACAACAAATGTTGTCCCACACCAACAGCGGCCGCTGTTGGGCAGGCGGCCTTCTGTCTCGAATGGGCACAGGCCGCGGCGGCGCGGACAGCGAGTCCTGTTCAAAATGAACAGGAGCTGCTGTTGGGCATTGTACCCCTTCTTTCCGTGCCGATTTCGTTCGTGCAGAGACTTCGGGACTCAGTTCGAGGCTGCTGAGGACCTCCCTGCCGCGGCGGCGGCGCTGCGGCGCCCGGGGCCGCCGCCTCGGCGGGCCCCCGCAGCTCCGCCAGGCGCTCCTCCACCAGGTCCCGGTGGCAGCCGCCGGCCAGGAGTCCGAGCCGCTCCGCCTGGAGGCGGGGGCGGCCAAGAGGGGACGTCCACCTCCTCCCCCTCCTCCCCCTCCCCCTCCCCCTCCTCCTCCTCCTCCTCCTCCTCCTCCTTCTCCTCCCCCTCCTCCTCCTCCCCTCCCCTCCCCCTCCTCCTCCTCCTCCTCTCCTCCTCCTCCTCCTCCTCCTCCCTCCCTTCTCCCTCCCTCCCTCCCTAGCCCAGGGGCACCCGAGTGGGTTCCCACCCCCGTCACCAAGGGGGCGCAAATCGTGGCCGGCGGCACGTGCGCGGCCCACGGGGGGGGGGGGCCAGGCACGCCATGAAACAGGAAGAGGCGCCACGAGATCTGGGAATATATATATATATATATATATATATATTGGCCCACGCCATGATCTCCACCCCGCCCTGGTCATCACCCCCCTCTTGGCCGCCCCCGATGGAGGAGGACCGATCTCCCAGACGCGATCGCGTCGCAGAAGAATCATCAGAACGGGAGGTGTTCGGCCGTGCTCGGCCTCGGGGGGGGCCCTCGCTGGGCCTCGCTGGGCCGTTCAGCAAAACGACTCGGGAGGAAGAGCGGGCCCAGGGGAAAGGGTCGGGGCTGCCAGGGGCGCTGCACAGGGCAGTTTTTAATACATAGGATTTCCTGACATCTGGGACTTGAATACATGATTTATGAATGAATAAATGCATGCATGAACTCATCGTTGTTTTCAATACTACATCCCTGTACTTTTACACATGATCCGCACGCGGAGCATGTATCAAAAACGGCACTGTATTGAAAGGGCTTGGACGTCGCATGTCTGGGTTTGGCGGCGCGCACCAGGGAGTAGGGAGAGGGGGGGAGGCTCCTTAGAGGAGACTGCTTCTCACAAGGGGCCAGCCCTGAATGTGTATATATATGTATGTATATATTTATAGATACCCTGATTGTGTATATGTATATCTATATCGATAAATATATATAGTTAGACATATATATATAGATGTATAGATAGATAGACAGACATATACATATATAGATCTATATATATAGATATATAGATACATAGATATAGATAGATAGATAGATAGATAGATAGATATATGAATATATCGATAGATAGATAGATAGATATATATATATATAGATAGATAGATATATAGATAAGGCCCTCACCTTCAAAGAGGCAGGGGTGCTTCTAAGAAGCCTTCCCACCTCCTCCCATGCACCTCTGCGCGTGGCTGACAAAAACCACCTCCCCAATCTATTCATGAATGCTGGTACGTTCGCCGCATTCGCTCTCTTACTACCAGACCGCTCTACGCTTGACCGGGGGTCTGTGCGTAAACAATCGCTCCAATGGTAATCGCAACTCAGTTTTCTTACACGGTCGCCCAGCATTGCTTCGCAGTGCTGTGCGTTGTAGCTACATCAGGGTCCCGCGCACCAGACACCGCAAAGTGACAGAGACAGAAATGACCTGCTTGGAGTCTACGCTGCGATCACACATACAACCCGAATGTATGTGATGTCCTTCGGTCGGAAGAAATGGGTGGACACATCAAGTAGGAAGGCGGTGGCAGTGGAGAGGATGTCCTCCCACCCCTTGAAGAGGAGGGAAGACGGACAACCGCTCGACTCTTGAAGCAGCAAGGCGCCTACAATAGATTAACGCGGGATGGCAATTCATAAAAAATGAGAGAGAACGATAAAACACATAGTGGTCTGATATTTCTGCAAAATTTTCTTACTGGAGGAGAACGATCAAAAAAATTGTCCAGCCCGCGGCTGGTTCTTTCTAATCGTCATCCCGGGCGACACAACGTGAACACGACCCTGGGTCATTTATTAATCGTCATCCTCCATTAGCATTTGGGCGTCCAAGAATACATACTTTTGACGACCGGCGTGTGGAACATTTCGTCATACAGCCTGTTCAAATATGGACCTCCTGGTCCCGCTAAACCTGGCTCCCGAGCGGGGAGGATGCGCCCCGAACGCCCTGGGCCAACCCACGCTGGTCCAGATGACAAGAGGCCCCAAGATGCTCCGAGAAGGCCCCAAGAAGCCGCCAGGAAACCCAAGGATGCCAATCAGAGGCCCCCAACAGGCCTCAAGAGGCCTCCAAGGAGCCGCCGAGAGCCGCCGAGAGGCATCTAAGAGGCCTCCGAACCACAACCCATACACAATGGAACACCGCCCATCAAGATCGATATGACCCACGCGGTGCCCCCTCGGGACCAGTTGGGTCATATAACTTGAATCCGAGAGAGAGGCATCTCAATAAGCCGCCGAAGCTCACCCCAAGAAACCCAGGCAAGTTGGCGGGTTGGGGCCAGAAGCCACTAGACCTGGCCCGGCACAGAAACGGAAAGAGCGCTTCAGACACAGAAACTGAAATTACTCACACCACCGTTCGTACCAGGAGCCTTTGCGTTGAGAGTTTGTTACGTCACCCCTCGCTCGTGGGAGCGTTGGTGTTCAGAGATTGTTGCGTTGCCGCCCGTTCCTGAGCCTTGGCTGGGCCTTGGTGTCAGGAACTTGTTACGTCACCGCTCTCTGCTGGGAGCCTTGGTCTTATCAGCTTGTTTACGTCACCGCTCGCTCTTTGGAGCCTTGGTGTGAAGAGCCTTTTGCGTTACCGATCGCTCTTTATTTTGCGCCTCTGGGCCTGATTGGGGGTCCTATTGCGGCTCTTGTCGGGCCCTTTTGGAGGCCCCTTGGGAGCCTCTTGGGAGCCTCTTGGGGCTTCTTGGGGGGCTCTGGGGGCCTCCTGGGAGCTGCTTGGGACGAAAGGCTAGGCCTTCGGTTCGTGGTCCCCCTCTTGGGGCCGTCTTGGAACCCTCTTGGGCCGTCTTGGGCGCCTCTTGGGCCGTGTTGGGGCCCTTTTGGGCTATATTAGGGGCCTCTTAAAAACGTCTTGGGCCGTCTTGGGCGGTCTTAGGGGCCTCTTAGACCGTCTTCAACGCCGTGGAATCCGAAAAGTCGTGAATACTGAAAAATACATTTTTTCCCATAGACCACGGCGGCGGCCGACTGGCAACGACGACGACGTCGGAGCGCCAAGCAAGAAACGGCCAAAGCGGCTGCATGTTGTCATGTCTACCGCCTACCCAACGTCCCCGGGTCCCCCCGGAGGCGTTTCGCGCACCCCACCTTATGTTTTCACGTATTACTTGCACCACTCGTCCCAGCATTACATATTTTTCACATGTTACTCGCACCACTCGTAGGAAAAGGAAAAAGCCCAAGAATATAGTTTATGTCTACGAATGATACGAGTAGTATGTGAAACAAACAGGAGTGATGGGACGAGTGATACGAGAAATACGTGACGAATGAGGCGCGGGACGACTCGGGCGCCAAAAAACCAAACAGGGGGATATGTACATGCATATGTATATATATATATATATCATAATGGTCTCGCGGAAATCCTTACCCGCAGAGTCGCTCGGCCAACTCGCAATTGACGGGGTGAACTAAAAATGAGACGTGGGTTTGTTGCCCAGCACGTGAGATGATAGGGGTGCATAAATACAGAGGGCGGTAGACGGGTAAATGTTCGAGGGGAGGAGTGGGGAGGAAACGTCCCAACCACTGCGAAAATCAAACCGTCAACCGTGGACTTACCCCGGACTGAGTCAGACAGGGGCAAGTCGAACTTGACACTTTGCTTTTCGACTTTTACGACGAACCACTGCGGCGGCCGACTGACAACGACGAGAACGTCCGGGCGCCAAGCAAGAAACGGCCAAAGCGGCTGCATGTTGTCATGTTTAGCGCTTACCCAGCGGCCCCGGGACCCCCCGGAGGCGCTTCGCGCATCCCACCTTATTTGTCATGTATTACTATACCACTCGTCCCAGCATTCCCTATTTTTCACATATTACCCGTGTCACTCGGAGGACAAGAAAGAAGCCAAAGAATAGACTATTCTCTTTCTGCAAGTGATACGAGTAATATGTGAAAAATAAGGGGTGATGGGACGAACGATAGAAATAATACGTGACGAATGAGGCGCGGGACGACTCGGGCGCCAAAACACTAAAAAGGGGATAAACATACATACATGTGTACATATATATATGTTTATATATATATATATATATATATATCAGAATGGTCTCGCAGAAATCCTTACCCGCAGAATCGCTCGGCCAACTCGCACTTGATGGGGTGAACTGAAAAATGAGACGTATTATTGATTATTCTGATTACTGACCTTGATCATTATTATCATTATTCCAAACAGGGGGTGGGGGAGCTGGCGGTGCCCAGCTAGGGGGACCCGCACGGAGCCGTCGGGACCGAGGAGGGACAATCTACAACCGGCGGGGCCCCTCGCTCTTCACCCGAGCCTGTGGGGAATGTGACACCAGCCGGACTTCTGGCGTAAGTCATGATGCCTGACAAAGGGGGGGAGAAGGAGGACGAGCCTGGGCGACGCGGTCCTCCAGGGACGCCCGATCGGAGCCCTGCATGGCCTCTCTCAGGCCCACGACGCAGTCGCCAGCCTGGAGGCCGAGGGAGGAGGGGAACAGAACGAGGATTAGGGAGGAGCAGCTTCAGGAGGCCCACGCTGTCAATGCCATCCATCTCTGACCATTTTTTTTCCCGCGCAAATCTTTTGGAGAGGGAGAGGGAAGGCAGAGGGGAGGCGGCGAACTCTCTAAAAAACGGAGGAGACATCCATCTCTGACCAACATAAAACGGAGGAGGGTGAGAAACAGGACCTTCCACCGTGCCCGCGGCACGCTGGGGCGCGTCCAGACATGTTATTTGTTGCGCGCGTGGCACGCTCACACTCCCGGAGCGAGCCCACATCCAGAGAATCCTCCCACGAGTTTGGCGCACCAGCCTCCTTGCGCCACTCAAGCGGCTCCTGGTCCTAGCCTGCCAATGCCGGTCTCGAAACAGCCTCGAGATGCTCAGAGCCAGCTCCTCCCAGCTCCTCCCTGCTTGCGGGCCGTGGTGCTGCTGGCTGCGTGAGGCCAGCAGAACGCATCCACCCACAACGATCCTGGCCAGGCCCCTTCCGGGCCCAGGATCGGTGAAAGCGCTGCCGCGACGGCGCACCCACCGATCCCTAGATGCCCGCCACCGCGCTGTGCAGCAGTTGGTGTCGGGCCTGGGCTTGTTTTCGTCCGCCCCGCGTCTCGCGAAGCAATCCGTGGACCTCCCCGGCGCATCAAGCCCAGCGGGCTTCCACTCTCTTGGGCCAGCGTCTGCGCGCTTCAGCTTGCTTTCTGCATGGAGGCATGGGCATTGAGGGGCAACGATTAGGGGGGGAAACGTCGACCTGGAATCGGCGATACATCGCCGATAGATCGGCGATGGGCCGCCGACAGCGCATCCGCACCTCAATGGGCGGGGTGGGGCTTTCGCAGCCCCAATCGGCGATCGATGGGCGATTGGGGGGGTCGATGCGTCCCCCCCCTTGGCCTGTCCCCACCCCGTACCGTTGCCCCTGGGGCATGGGACCAAGAACCAGAATCGGGGATCTTCTGACCCGGGTCCATCCAGACCTGGGTCAGCAGGGAGCCAAAAACTGCCATGCAGGAAAACAAAAACTGCAACGCAGGTCTTCGCAAACCCGGGTCAGCCAGTGTGTGCGGCCTCCTCGCGGCCACGAGCGGCTCGCTGACCCTGGTCGGCCAGAGGGGGTCTTCGCAGGATCCTGCAGGATCCGGTGCCGTGGCTGACCCCGTTTGCACTGACCCCCGTCTCAAGGCTCCCAACAGCCCGAGAGGAGGAGGAGGAGGAGGAGGAGGAGGAGGAGGAGGAGGAGGAGGAGGAGGAGGAAGGAGGAGAAGCATGGGGAGAGGAGGAGCAGGAGGAGGAGGAGGAGGAGGAGGAGGAGGAGGAGGAGCAGGCGGAGGAGGAGGAGGAGGAGGAGGAGGAGGAGGAGGAGGAGGAGGAGGAGGAGGAGCAGGAGGAGCAGGAGGAGGAGCAGGAGGAGGAGCAAGGAGGAGGAGCAGGAGGAGGAGGAGGAGAAGGAGGAGGAGGAGGAGCAGGCGGATGCGCGTTCTGGCCCTCCTCGAGCCCCCCCTGGGGGCCCTCTCGGATGGGCCCGCTCCCCGCAGCATCGCACGCGCGACTGCCTCTGGCCGTGATCTGCTCCACACGTCCCGCGCTTCTTCAGGGCTGCAGAGCGCAGAGAACTCCGCGCTCCGTGCGACGCGCGCTTGCCTTCGAGCTCTCGCGCCCGACCCCTCGATGGGGGGGGGGCGCGGGGGGCGGCTCCCGCGAGGCGCGATTACCTCCGCACTCCCGCGAGAGACCTGGTTTCTGTTGCGGCGTCGGTCCGAGGGTGCGGCAAACACCCGGCCGCTGCCGAGATCGGCCCCTGGGGAAACCAAAAGGTGCCGATACCGCTACACTCTGGACCTCTCGCAGGGAGCGCGTTCTGACCAGGTTCTCGAGGAGGGAACGGGATTCTTCATTGCCCTCAATTCAAATCCCCACGAACCTCGGGCAGTACGTGCGGCCCGGGGGGAGGCGGACCGCTCACCCATCCCACCACCATACGGGGGATGTGAAGACCCTGTGAGCGGGACGGGGTGGGCACAGGGGGGCCAACAAATGGCATCCCGCACCCAAGTCGTGGCCGTCATGGGCCTCTTCTTGGGATGAGGCACCAATCGGCCTCTCGGATGGGCACCATACGCCCGTCCACAACCGAAGGAAGCGCACCATTTGCCTTCCGCATTTCTTTGGCAATTGATTGCAACACTCATGGACCTTTTTCATTTGATACTTCAACCTCTCTCCAGCAGTGGCGATGAGGGGCTCCCACGAGGCCCCAGGGAGGGGGAAACGAGGGAAGGGTAGCGGTCTGAGTGGGGGGGCCGAACGGTCATCCACTGTCCCTGGGCGCGTGGCTGAAGTGAGGTTCTGAAGTGAGGTTCTGCGGTGCGGACTGTCGTTCTTGTTGTTGGTGGTGCTGGTGTTGTTATTGTGAATCGTATCCTTATTGTTGGTGTTGTTATTGGTGGTGAAACTGCTGTTCTCATCGTTATTTTTTGAAAAGGTATTGTTGATTCCCCCCTCCGGGGCACATTGTGTTCTGAAATTGTCTTGAGTCTCGAAATTTGGTTGTTGGCGCCCAGCTTACAACAACGACGGCTCCCTCCGGGTACTTCCTCACTTTATTCCCAAATCGGGCTCTCGCGCGGGACCTCCTCACAATGTATGGAGACATCGAGCTCTCGCGTGGGACTTCTTCGCAGTTTATTCGAGCGCCCTCGACATTCAGGAGTCACGCTCTCGCTCTAGAATTCCTCACGGTTGATTTGGAAATCCAGCTGTCGCCCGAGATTTCCACGTAATTCATGCACGACGCACGCTTCAACAACATGCCTGCCCGACCTGGCCGCCTGGGCCCTCCTTCCTGACCCGCCTGGTAGGGTCTACCCGCCGGACGGGCCCGTCAGGTTCTGCCTCGTGTTTTCTCCTCCTACCTCCCGCTACTCTCTCTCGGGCTCCATCCTCCTTCCACCCCCTTGTCCCTTCCTTCCGTCCGTCCTCTCGTCCACTGCACCAGGGGCGGCACGAAATACACGTTGCGGGCAAGAAAGATAGATCCCCAATGGGGGTACGGTCGAAGACGAAGAGGGCGGGTATTCAGAGTTTGGGAGTATACGTGTCGAATGGCACGCGAAAAAGTACTAGCAAACAGTCTTAAAATGAGGGTTGCTGTTGTTGCTGGTGTTATTGGTGTTGCTGCTGTTGTTGTTGTCGAATTCCCATTTCTGAAAACATTAGTGTGGATCCCCCTCCCGTAACCATTGTACGTTTCAGTCGGGTTGTTGGGCCCCGATCTACAACAACAACAACAACAACGACTCTCGCCTGATACTTCCTCACAATACAATGTCTTCCAACATCGCGCTCTCGCGCGGGACTTCCTCACACATTACGCAGGGATCGCGCTCTTGCGTCTGACTTCCTCGCGATTTATTCAAACGCCGCGCCCTCGACACTCAGGAGTCACGCACTCGCTTTGGCCTTTCTCACGATTTACTTGGGACTCGCGCTATCGCTAGAGCTCTCCTCGCGATTCTTGCAAGATTCACGCTTCAGCAATACGCCTCCTCGACCTGGGCGCTTGGGCCCGCCTTCCCGACCCGCCTGTTAGGGTCTACCCATCCAACGGGCCCGTCTGGTTCTGCCACGTGTTTTCTGCTCCTAGCCCCGCTCCTGTTAATCCAATGTTTCATCCTTCTCCCACCGCTTTCCATCCGTCCTCTCTTCCCCTGCATCAAGGGCTGCACGAAAGACGTGCGGCAGGCAAGGAAAAAAAACCAGGGGGGGGTACGATCGAAGACGAAGAATGCGGGCACCGAGGGGGTTTGCTTATACGTTGTGAATGAATGGCACGCGAGCAAGTAAGAGCGACCAGTCTTCAAATGATTAGCGTTGTTGTTGGTGTTGTTGGTGTTGGTGTTGGTCGTGTTGCTGCTGTTGTTGTTGATGTTGGTTGGTGAATGTTAATTGCGTAACAATTATCATTGTTGGACACCCCCAGGCGCCCTGGCACTCTCGCCTCGGCGACGGCTGCATTTTCACGAAAATGAAGCTCGCGCTCGAGCGGTTGGGGGGGCGCCAAAAAGGCCCCCCCAACAACAACAGCGCTCCCGCTCGAGACTTCCTCCTTTTTTACTCAAGGCTGGTGCTCCCGCTCGCCGCTGACAACCGCCGTCCCAACAAAACCAGCGCCACCGCTCGAGCCTTCCTCCCGTTATACCTTGGACTGGCACACTACTCTTTCTCTCATCGGCGCTGCCCACGGCAACAACAACGCTCCCGTTTAAGACATGTTCCCTTGTTCACTCAAGGCGGTGCTCCTCCTCGCCGTCGGAAACCGCCGGCCCGACAAGACCAGCGCTCCCACCCGAGACTGCCTCCCGTTTTACGCTGGACTGGCGACCTACTCTCTTTGAATTTGCACCGCTCCCAGCAAGAACAACGCTCCCGCTCGAAGCTTCTTCCCTGTTTCCTCAGGACGGCGCTGTTCCTCGCCGCCGGCAGCCCCCGTCCCGGAAAACCACGGTTCCCGCTCGAGACATCCTCCTTTTTTGCTCAAGGCTGGTGCTCCTGCTCGCCGCTGAAAGCCGCCGCCCCAACAAAAACAGCGCTACTGCTCGAGACTTCCTCCCGTTTCACCTTGGACTGGCGCGCTGCTCTTTCTCTCATCGGCGCTGCCCCCAGCATCAACAGCGCTCCCGTTCGAGACCTCCTCCCTTGTTCACTCAAGGCGGTGCTCCTTCTCGCCGCCGAAAACCGCCGGCCCGACAAAACCAGCGCTCCCGCCCGAGACTGCCTCCCGTTTTACGCTGGACTGGCGCCACACTCTCTTTTGAATTGGCACCGCTGCCAGCAAGAACAACGTTCCCGTTCGAGGTTTCCTTCCTGTTTTCTCAGGACGGCGCTGCTCCTCGCCGCCGACAACGGCCGTCCCGACAAAACCACGGTTCCCGCTCGAGACGTCATGATAATTTGGTGCTCCTGCTCGCCGCTGAAAGCCGCCGCCCCAGCAAAACCAGCGCTACCGCTCGAGACTTCCTCCCGTTTTACCTTGGACTGGCGCGCTACTCTTTCTCTCATCGGCGCTGCCCACGGCAACAACAACGCTCCCGTTCGAGACCTCCTCCCTTGTTCACTCAAGGCGGTGCTCCTCCTCGCCGCCGAAAACCGCCGGCCCGACAAATCCAGCGCTCCCGCCCGAGACTGCCTCCCGTTTTACACTGGACTGGCGCCCTACCCTCTTTTGAATTGGCGCCGCTTCCAGCAAGAACAACGCTCCGCTCCCGCTCGAGGCTTCCTGTTTCCTCAGGGCAATGTTGTTCGTCGCCGCCAACAGCCCTCTTCCTTTCAAAACCACGGCTCCCGCTCGAGACTTTCTCCTTTCTCACTCAAGGCGGTGTTCCTCCTCGCCGCCGGCAACCGCCGTCCCAACCAAACCAGCGTTCCCGCTCAAGACTTCGTGTTGTTTTACGCAGGACTAGCGCCCTACTCTTTTCAGAACTGGCGCCGCTCCCAGCAACAACAGCGGCCCTGCTCGAGACCTCCTCCCTTTCTATTCAGGGCCAGGTCCTTGCCTCGCCGCAGACAGCCCCCATCCCCACCAACGCAATCCTGTCGTTTGATACTTCCTTGTGCTTTATCCTTGGCTAGGGCTCCACTGGCGGTCTCGCAACGGCGCAGCAAGGCGCGTGCATGCTTTTTCGAGATGGGATATGTTGAAATTCCTCGGAGGATGCGTTTGCAGGGCCTCATTGGGCGGGAGATATGGGAATGGGAAAAATGGACCCCGCTTTAGAACAAGAAAAACCCATGATGGTTATGGTTATCATGATGGTCGCATGCGTCTGGTGGAAGCATGGCGCATGAGGGTAACATGATTGTTGTTGTTTGTTGTTTGTTGTTCATTCTTGTTGTTTATTGTTTATTGTCATCGTGCCCCCTGCGACCCGGCCCGGACCCCACCCGCGACCCATCCACGACCCACACGCGACCCACCCGCGACCCGGCCCGCGACCCACCCGCGACCCACCCGCGACCCACCCGCGAACCACCCGCCGACCCACTCACATTGCTTTTACGAAAAAATCGGCGAATGCGGCGAGCTCGTTGTACGTAGCACCCCGCAGATGCGGATAAGAGTGAGGGGGCGGTGGGGACGTCGGCGGTTTGCGAGACTCTGGAGAAGCCCGCCGCATGCGCCAAAGTTTCACAAATTTTGCAACAAGCCCGCCGCAGGCGCCGATTTTTTCGTTGAACCAATGTGGGTGGGTCGCAGGTGGGTCGCAAATGAGTCGCGGGTGGGTCGCGGGTGGGCCATTGTCGGGTTGCGGGTGGGTCGCGGGTGTAGAGGGCAGAAAATCCACCCCATAATAATCACCCCCAAAGGCCGCCTTTTAGTAAACGCGCACAAGGAATGAACCGAACAGGGCAGGGCTGTTTAGTCAACGCCCAGGGCCGTTTAGTAAACGTCAATTGTCGGGTCCGGGCGATTTTTCCTCCCCTGAGGGTGGGTCGCGGGGTGGGTGGCGGGTGGGTCGGGGGGTGGGTCGCGGGTGGGTCGCGGGGTGGGTCGCGGGGTGGGTGGAGGGGTGGGTCGTGGGTTAGGTCGCGGGTGGGACGACGACAACAAACAACAACAACACAAACAACAACAACACCAACAATAATTTTAAGACTGATCGCCCTTATATGCTCGAGTGTCCAATAACGCGTATTTCCCAAACCCTTGATACCCGCCCTCTTCGTCTTCGATCGAACCCCTTTTGGGGGGTATAAACACAACCTTAACCTTTCTCTTTCTAAAACCCTTCTAACCTTTCTTTCTTTTTTCTTCTTTTCTTCCCTGGCAGAAGAAGGCGGGCGCCTGCAAGGAGCGGCGGGGGCGGGCCGGCGGACCGTCGGCCCGGCCACGGGGGGCAAGGCGCTGAGATTGATCAAGTCGCTCTCGATTCGGCAGCGCTGATCTTTCGGCGGGGGCGGCGGTTCGGCGGGGGCGGGGGGCGAGGGCCAGCCGGACAAACCGTCGGAACACCGTACCCCAAGAGAACGGGACAAGGGGACCGACCAACAGACTACACGACGATCCGGACGCAGGCAACCGGGACGACACAAACGGGACATCGTAGACGACGGCGACGACGCGACGGATCGACACGACGGCGTCGAGGACCAACTAGCGGAAAGAAGCGAGAGCGAGAGAGAAAAACGACAAGCACAGGGCACCCCAACGAAGGGCACGAAGTAGGCCACGAAGGGCGACAGCGGGGACACGAAGGGAATGCGTATGGGGCCACGAAGAGCGCGAACGAGCGGGGGCCACGAGGTGCAGATAATGCGGGGCCACAGAAGGCAACTATGGGGCCACTGAGGGTAGCAACTGGGCCACGTAGGACAGTGAGGGGGGACACAACTGGCGACAGCGGGGCCACGAAGGGCATGCACATGGGGCCACAACGGGCGCGACTCCTGGGTGCCTGGGTGTCGGGAGCGCGGCGCTTGGGCAAATTGCAAAAAATTCCAACGCAAGGCCATTCTTCAGTAAGTTGCAAGCAAGTCTCCAGCGAGAGCGCGACTCCAGAGCGCCGGGAGAGCGATTCCTGAATAAATTGGTAAGGAAGTCCCAAGCGAGAGCGCGACTCCTGAATAACATGCGAGGAAGTCTCGGGCGGGAACGGGGGTCCTGGCTAAATTGTAAGGAAGTCTCAAGCGGGAGCCGTTGTTGTTGTAACCCGGGGGCCAAGGGGCCAGTTTGAGCAGGAAGACATTCCCTGTCAAAAAACAGGGTGCGAGCGTCGAGGGGCACACTTTGATTGAGAAAAAAACCATATGCACCGGTGGGGGGGATCAACAATAATTATTCTTCAGAAATGAGAATTCAACAACGAAGCAAGCAGACTTCTCACCACGAATCCCTTATGCAGCCACGCGCCCAGGGACAATGAATGACCGTTCGGCCCCCTCACTCTGACGGCTTGGTGACGATTGAGCGCCTGCGGCGGGCTTCCTCAGAGCCTCGCAGACTGCCGACGTCCCCGCCGCCCCCTCACTCCCATCCGCGACCGCGGGGCGCTACGTCTCGGTGCCTTCCCCACTTCTGCGCCCCGACGCCCGACGTCCGACGTCGCTTCGAGGTCCGACGGCGGCGGTCCCGCCGTCCGACGCCGTCCGACGTCGGGCTGCGGCGTCCGTGGATGCGACCGCCAGCCTCCAGGGCAGCGTCGAGGGCAGGGGCTATGCGGGCGCGGCCCTCGCTGGTCGCGAAGCCGGCGATGTCCTGCAGCGCCTGCAAGTCCTCATTCGTCGCCTCCAGGAGCGCGTCGGCTCCCTGGAGGAGGAGGCGGAGGAGGAGGAGGAGGAGGAGGAGGAGGAGGAGGAGGAGGAGGAGGAGAGGACGAAGGGCCCAAAATCTTGCCTGAACAGAGTACATCTCGAACCTCGATGAGAACCTCGAGAAAGGAACAAAAAAAAAAAACCGGAGCCCCTGCAAAAACCAATCAAACGGGTTACTGCTCTGCTGCGATGTCCTTGCAGGTGGCACTGAAGGAAAACAGCTTAAGAAAACAAAACGGGTCTTCACGCTTTCGGAACGAAGAAGTCGGCCCCCGGACTGCAAAGATACTCCCACCTCCCCAGCTCTCCTGATTCCTGGCTCAGCATCCTCCTTACTTCTCTCTACCACCTCCTCCTCCTCCACCTCCTCCCCTCCCGTACCCTCTATCCCAATTTCCGCATCCTCATCCTCATCCCTCATCACCATCATCCCATCTCCTCCTTTTCTCCCCTCCTCCTCCCTCTTTCCTCGTACGCTTGCCCCGATTGTCACTAATCCACATCCTTCGTACGCCCGACCTGGCTCACCGCCTCCTCTAAATTCCGCCTCCTCCTCCACTTCCTCCTTCCTCCACCTCCTCCTCCTACCCTCCTCCCAATCCCAACCTACTATAACTCTACTCCTCCCTCTCCTCCTGTTCCTGCTCCTCATCCTCATTCACATCCAACTCCACATCCTCATCATCCAGTCCAACTCCCGAAACTCATCCTCCAGTTCCACCGCCTCCTCCTCCTCCAGCCCCACTCTTCCTCCTGAGCCACCCCCGACTCCTCACCTTCCGTCTTCTCCGCCGAGCTCCAGCCCCATGCTCCTCCCCTAGCCTACCCGACTCGCCGGCTTCCTACATCGGCCGCTGCACGGCGCACCACGCCGCCGCGAGGACGGCCCGACGCCCGGCAGTGCAGCGGCCGCTCGACGCTCCAACGGCGCGGCGGCAGCACCGCGGCAGCACAGCGGCGGAGCATCTGTGGCGGCGGCGGCGCGGTGGAGCAGCCGGCAGCTGGCAGCCGGCAGCGGCGACCTGGCCCCACGGCGGGCCCGCGAGGGCTTCGGCCAGCGCGCGGTCGGCCACGGCGCCCGCCAGGGTGGCTTCCCCGTGGGCGCGAGCCTCTCGCAGCGAGTCGGCCACGCCCTCCGCGGCCGCGCCCCCTTGGGCGCCTGCCAGGGGCAGCCAGCACCAGGGGGCACAACGAGACCCGGCCTCGTCCCCTCACTCCGTCCTCCTCGTCCTCCGCCTCCTCCTCGTCCTCCTCCTCGTCATCCGCCTCCTCCTCCTCATCCTCCGCCTCCTCGTCCTGCTCCTCCTCTGTCTCCTCCTCCTCCTCCTCCTCCTCCTCCGCCTCCTCCTCCTCTTTCTCCTCCTCCTCCTCCTCCTCCTTCTCCTCCTCCTCCTTCTCCTCCTCCGCCTCCTCCTCCTCTTCCTCCTCCTCCTCCTCCTACAATTGTCTCACGTTTCGGCTCGAGGGTTCACGGACCCAGGGCTCAGCCACGAATCCCCTAGTATTCCGCGCATGGCGTGGTGAGACTGGGCCTGTGTTTCTATGATTCATGCCACATCCTCTTCCATAAAATCGCGCGTGCCACCATGGTTCCAGTGAGCCGTCGCCGTGCGCTTCGAATCACGTGCCTTCGCAGCCCAAGCCACCAAGCAAGGGCCGTTTAAAGCAAAGCTTATGGAATCGGCAACGTATCAATATCAACCGGAAGGGAACTTGCGCCGCCGCATTCCAGGCCAGTGGCGACGTCGACCCGGCAGCCGCTGCCTACAACCAACGAGCTCAGAAACACCAGGACTATTTTGACAGCATACACCGGAAATGCCGCTCCGACCACAGCAAGGTCAAGGGAGAATTACACTAGAGAAAAAAAATCAATGGATGGTTTTCGCTGAGGAGATCGACTGGGAACCCGGGAGCCCGGGAACCCAGAACCCACCGAAATCGTCCCAGAACCAATAACCGGGAACCCGGGAACCCGGAACCGGGAACCCCAGAACCCAGCCTGCTACCAAAATCGGTGGGAAACTTTCGCCAAATCTTCCAACTTCCGCTAGGACCCTGCAAGCACCGATTGGGGAACTGATGCAACCGTGCGGCCAAAAGCTCAGCCACACCAGGCTGCACTACTCTCAGCAGCAGAAGACGGGAACCCGTCGTGACCCAACGGGGAGATCGCGGTCCCCGCCGACGCCCTGCGAGGGCCACGGCACCGCCCCCGCCATCAGCAGTGATGCGCCAAACTGTCGGGCACTTTTTGGTCTGCGGGTCGAGAGCGAGCCTCTTCCGGTCAAGAGCTAGGCGGGGCGCGCAAAGCACTAGTTGGGGAGACAGGGCGCGGGCGGGCGGGGCCTCAGGCGGCCAGAGAGCGCGGGGTGCAGGCGGTGCCGAAGAACTTGCACAGGAAAAAAAAAAAGAAAAAAAACAAAAAATAAACAGAAAAAAAAAAAAACAATAAAAAAAAAAAAAACAAAAAAAAAAAAAATAAAAAAAAAAAAAAAAACAAATTAAAAAAAAAAAAAAACATGTATCGCCTAACATCGGCGCACGCAGAGTGGCCCCGGCCAAGGTGACCTTCGTGCGTGGGGGCGCGGGGGGGCCTTTATTATTTATATTTTCTGGTGGCTTTCGCTTCGCGGGGGAGGCCACGCACGAGAACGGCTCTCATGACCAGCTGCCACCAGCATGTTCCGCGCTCGGCGAGCGGGGGGACCCCAGTGTGCCTGCACCAAAAATCGCTCCGGCGAAAGGTCACTCTTACGTGTATGAAGGGGCCCTGGGACACACAAATTACTCACTGCGTGGAGCTCCCCATATGTGCATCTGATGTTTTATGTCATGCCGTGGCGAGCGTGTGTTCATGAGCGGTCGACTACAATAGCGCGTCCACGTGGGCGACAGGGCCGACGAAGACGAGTGACCCCTAATGCGAGTGATTGCGTATGAGTCAGAGTGAGCTTTGAGTACGGTTGAATGCGAGCCTCTTCCTCTTCATCCCCCCTCCTCAGCTGCCAGGCTTTCCCCTTTTCAGCCCGTGGTAGCTTTGGAGCTTCCCACATGCATATGTTGTAGGATAGTTGGCAGTGGGATATGTAAGACGAGCGTTTAGCCACACAAGGCCATACGTGCATGTCATGTTGGAGGATAGTGCCACGGTGAGCATGTCCAACGATCCCCGCACACAACCACCGCCCCCCCCTCGCAGTCACTCCCTATGAATACATATATATATATATATATATATACTAGAACCACGCGCGCGCTTCGCGCGAGCTTAGGTTCTAGCTAATTCGGATCGTCACCGTCGATCTGCGGCGGCGGGGGAAGGCCCCGAAACGAAGAAAGCCCCGAACCGCACCACCACCACGACGAAACGGCCCCCGCCCAAAACGTCCAAAAAGCATTTGTATTGGTTGTTGCGTCGCCAGGAGTTCTGGGCTCCCTCCTCCTCGTGTTCCTACCTCCTCTCTGGACGTCCGATGTCGTGATGTTTTCTGTGCGCGGCCCCTGGACCTCTCGACGACTTCCTAGGGATGGTTTGTTTTTTCATCCTGAATCGTTTTCTGACGGTCCCGGGACCCTGCGAGGGGCCCCGGAGGCCGAAAATTTACAAAAACCGCCGTCGTGATTTTTCCAAGACGTCGGAGGTCCAGGTCGTGCTTCCCGCCTCCCCAGACCTCCGACGTCGTAATTTTTGCGACCTCGGGCCCAGGAATCGATTGGGAACACGCACATGGGAAGGCAAGAAATGATGGACCCATCATTTCGTACCTGTGCCTTGATCAGTGGGACGGGCTTCGCACCGCCGCACATCACAAGACACGCTCCAGCGGATCCAGCCATGGCGGCGTCGGGGACTGCAGAAGGTCGCAAGGACACGGAATCTGAAAGGAAGAGAGAGAAAGATAGAGAGAAAGAGAGGGAAGAAGGCCAGAGAGCGCTGAAAGATACAAATACTGGAACCCTCTTGGGATTTTTTTGGGGTGGGGTTGGGGGGCTCGTCCAGACCCAGATCCTCTCCGCCTGGGGGGTTTTGAACGTAGCTTCTCGGGAGCCTCGAACCAGTCGGGGGCCCTCACTGGAAGCAGGTTCTAAAAGCATTTTTGGGCCGATTTGGGGCTTCTCGGGGCCTCCTTGGGCTCTTGGGTCTCCTGGGGCCTCTGGAGGGGCCTCCTTGGGGCCTCCTGGCGGCCTCTTGGGGCGGAAGGCTCGAGCTTGCGGTTCGTGGTCCCCCTCTGGGCCCCCTCTTGGGCCCGTCTTGGGGCCCTCTTGGGCCATCTTGGGCGCCTCTTGGGCCGTCTTGGGCCCCTCTTGGGCTGTCCTGGGGCCCTCTTGGAAGCTTCTTTGCACCTGTCGTGGGGCGAGTCCTTGGGTGTTTTGGCCGCCTCTTCTATTTTCTTTTCTATTGGGCCGTCCTGTAAAAAACGCGTCAAAGGAAAGCCCAAAAGGCGACTCTTTGAAAAATGTACGTTTTACGAAGGGAATGGGTCAATTTTTGCGTCTAGGGGCCCTCTTGGGACGCATATTGGAGGCTTCTTGGGGCGTCTTGGGGGCGTCCTTGGACGTCTGGGGTCTCCTGGGGCCTCTTGAGGGGCCTCCTGGGGGCCTCCTGGCGGCCTCTTGGGGCGGAAGGCTCGAGCTTGCGGGTCGTGGTCCCCCTCTGGGCCCCCTCTTGGGCCCGTCTTGGGGCCCTCTTGGGCCATCTTGGGCGCCTCTTGGGCCGTCTTGGGGCCCTCTTGGGCTGTCCTGGGGCCCTCTGGGAAGCTTCTTGGGCCGTCTTGGGGCGGTCTTGGGCGCCTCTTGGGCCGACCTGTAACGTCGGAAAGCCCAAAAGACAACTTTGTTGAAAATGTACGTTTTACGAAGGGAATGGGCCAATTTTTGCGTCTAGGGGCCCTCTTGGGACGCATTTTGGAGGCTTCTTGGGGCCTCTTGGGGGCGTCCTTGGACGTCTGGGTCCTCCTGGGGGCCTCCTGGCGGCCTCTTGGGGCGGAAGGCTCGAGCTTGCGGTTCGTGGTCCCCCTCTGGGCCCCCTCTTGGGCCCGTCTTGGGGCCCTCTTGGGCCGTCTTGGGGCCCTCTTGGGCTGTCCTGGGGCCCTCTTGGAAGCTTCTTGGGCCGTCTTGGGGCGGTCTTGGGCGCCTCTTGGGCCGTCCTGTAACGTCGGAAAGCCCAAAAGGCGACTTTGTGAAAAATGTACGTTTTACGAAGGGAATGGGCCAATTTTTGCGTCTAGGGGCCCTCCTGGGACGCATGTTGGAGGCTTCTTGGGGCCTCTTGGGGGCGTCCTTGGACGTCTGGAGGCCATCTTCAGCATCTCGGAGCCCTCTTGGAGGCCTCTTGGAAGTTTCTTGGGCCGTCTTGGGCGCTCCTGGGGCCGTTTTGTCTGACCGGGGAGGCCTCCGGCAAGCCCCGACGAGCCTCCGGGCCCCCCGGAGCCCACATTTGTGGTCGGGGTCCCGGCCCCGGGCCCCCGGACCCGGTGCGCCGTTATATGTATATATGTCCTGGACTTCGGAACAAATGTTCTGCTCGCGTCAAGGACCTTCGAGCAAAGCGCCCTCCTCCTCCTCCTCCTCCTCCTGTTCCTCCGCCCCCTCCCTTCTCCTGCTCCTGCTCCTCCTCCACATCCTCCTGCTCCCCCTCCCCCTCCGCACCCCCATGCCCTTCCTCACGATCCCCCGCCTCCTCCTCCTCCTCCTCCTGTTCCTCCTCCTCATCCTCGTTCCTGTCATTTCCCTCCCTGTTGAGCCCAGAAACAAGCGAACCGCCTGAGACATCCCCACAATATGGCCGCGAACGTGCCCGTGCAACCACCCCTGGCGGCTCCCCATAGGGGTGCTGCAACCAGCGCCCCGCTTGAGACATCGTCACAATCTGCTCTCCAAGCGAAGGATGTTGAGCCCAGAAACAAGCAAACCGCCTGAGACATCCCCACAAAATGGCCGCGAACGAGCCCGTGCAACCACCCCTGGCGGCTCCCCTTAGGGGTGCTGAAACCAGCGCCCCGCCTGAGACATCCTCACAATCTGCTCTCCAAGCGAAGAGTGTTGAGCCCGGAAACAGGCAAACCGCCGGAAACATCCCCACAAAATGGCCGCGAACGAACCCGTGCAACCACCCCTGGTGGCTCCCTTTAGGGGTGCTGAAACCAGCGCCCCGCC